ATTATTATTATTTCTTCCAAGCCCTAGTTCAGAACATTCTTCATCCCCAATTAGCAAAGCAACTCTGCACTGTGGGTTCCATTTAGACTTTACCAACTCAGAGTATTCCGAGTGAAATCAGTTGGGATTGACTTAAGCCTCATTTGTTCCAATGAGTCTATTCCAAGTGTAACTAAGTCTGGATCCAACCTTGTGTGAGTATGATGGGGATAGCATTGGATTGGACGACCAACAGGCCAATGCGCACCCAGTTCTGTACTGAGATGCATAGGGAGGGCCGGCTGGTTTATCAACAAATTGGTTTATCTGTACTTAGTAGTGTGTACTGTCAGTTCATGGTTTATGCCCAACCCACTCTGTTCATTGGGATACTTTATGGGTTTCCTAGAGGGAGCAGCAGCAGCACTCAAAGCTCCAGTTGTGTGCCTAAGTTTACTGCTGGACCAAAGTACATATCAGCAGGGAGGAAATGTTATAGGGTGGGAGGAAAAACCTCACAATGGGAGTGCAGTCGAATTTGCCTTGAAAAATGTGCATATTATCTTATCAGAAGCATTTTTTAAAAAAAGACAAAACTATTTTTCTTAAATTAGAATATAGATATATAGTAGATAGAATTATGACAAATGATAACAAATATTTAATCATTCAGAAGAATATAAGAGATAGAAAATACAGGATTTAAATTTGCCCAAGAAAATTTCAGAGAAAAAAAACTTTTAAAATGTCTTATGGGTATTGAAAAGACATAGATAAGAGGAAGAAAAAAAAAAACCTGGACGGCAGTGTTGTTCCAATCCTCCTGCGTACATTATAAACATATCTGTGATTAATTTTCACAGTATAGCATTTCTCAGTTGAGAGTCAAATGAGGGGAATCTGAGGAAGCTAAAAGGAGATAGTTGTTTCCTCACCTTTTCCAAATGAAAATTTATATATTTTATTTATTTTATTTATACCCTGCCTATCTGGTCATTGCGACCACTCTAGACGGCTTCCAAACAAATAAAACTAACATATAAATATACCAAGGTAGAGAAAAAAAATACCAAGGTAGAGAAAAGTCTGGGTAGCTACCCAGGTATGTAGTGTAACATTGTGCCTATTCTTTAAA